ATTTTGTATTCAACATAACCGGCTATATTAATTTAATTTGTCTGGGATGAATAGTGAAACACAAGTTAGTAACAGTAGTGTAAAAAGGAGGATTCAAATGAACAGTAAATTTGGGATCCCTTCTTTTAAGGTAAAGGAATATATAGTATTGATTATGTGTCAAGCTACTATTGGTCAAGAAAATTTTTAATATTATAAAAAAGAAAAAAATTCTTTCTGGTGTAATTTGAAATTGTTACTAATGGTATTTTTGTCTGAATAATAACAAGCGGACATCAAATAAATTTAGGACATTTTTGCAAATTGTGATTATATTGTCACCACAATTTTTACTTGATACACTATATTTTAATTGCAGTTAAGTTTCTTAATTTTGCTCATTGTAATAATTATTTCCTTACCTTTTTCGTCGAATTCTTGTCTTCAACCTTTCATTAATTCGTATGTCTTGTCCTTGATGAATATTTGTATAAAAATATAATTTTTTTTCTTTGAAATGAGGAAAAAATATTTTTTTCTCACTTTTTATTTATTTATTTATTTTTTAAAAATATGATGAGAAAAATAAGTTTTTTTTACTCAATTTCAATGAACTTTTGAACATAAAACTGTTATTAAATACAAAATGTGTTAATTAATGAAAAGTTTGAGGATAAGAATAACGTGAAAAATAATTAGGAACATAAGTACTATAATAACCAAAGATTAAGAACTTGCATGAAACCCTTGTTTGAGTCTCATTTTGTCAAAAACTCATTTTTAATTATACATATTTCGATAAAATAATTTTACATGGGAACCAATTTTTTTTTTTTTTTTTAAAATATACATTCTCCAAAAAATACCATTTTAAGATACATAATCCAAAATATGCTCAAATAAGGGAGANNCCAAAATATGCTCAAATAAGGGAGAAATAAAAATCGTGACGTGAATATAATTACATGACAATGTTAAAGTGGATATTTTTTTGTCATTTCCTCTTCTTCTTAGAAGTCGACCTCCAACAATTTAGCCTATGTTTGATTTAGATTAAAATTCAATTAAAATTTTAAATTAAAGTTAATAATTAATTTTAATCACATATTTTATGAGATTCATAACTTTTCAACCAAACTTTTCATCAACTTTTATCAAAATTTACTTAAAATTTAATTTTAATCTCTACCAAAGAGTGGCTTACTGTATTGATTTGATGGACAACAAACCCATCCGTGAAAACTTATTTCGTCAATCGTGGCCATACGGTGGTGTCTGGCTGCTCCGTTGATATATGAATTGTACGGAGTTGGGTCTGTCGTCACTGTCAGCTCAAAACTTTTTTCTCGATTTTTGTACCTTTGGGAAATAATAAACTATTTGATGCAATCAATACAAGTCTCTCTCTCTCTACATCTATCTGTTTCCTATCTCTATATAGTAATATTATACTATCTGGCACGTTAAAGCCAGCTTTTTGATGCTAGATAGGCATGTGTAATACGTTGCGAGGGCAAACAGATTGAAATTTCATAAGTTTGATTCGTTGCCGTTGTTATATATAAAACACCACTGTGTATAGTGAAAATAATATTACTTGGAGAAGAAAAATGAGACCCCGGATTTACCTTTTCGGAGATTCTATCACTGAAGAGTCATTTACCGATGGCGGCTGGGGATCTTCTCTTGCAAACCACTTCTGTCGCACGGTAATTTTTACTCACATCCGTACTGTTCTATTTTTATTATTTTCATTATAAATTTGTTGATTTGTTTGTATTGATGATAAATGGGTGGTTGGTTAGATGGATGTGATGTTGAGAGGGTATAGCGGGTACAATACAAGATGGGCTCTGAAGGTGGTGGAGAAGGTATTTCCACCGTCGGAAAGTGGCGGTGCTCCTATGGCAGTGACGGTGTTCTTCGGCGCAAATGACGCTTCTCTTCCCGATAGATGCAGTGCCTTCCAACACGTGCCGGTTGACGAGTACAAGAAGAATCTTCACGCCATTATCGCCTTTCTCAAGGTAGTTAAACCCCCACCCACCCCGTGCCTGCATTTGTTGACATTTGTTTTCCTATATGTAAAAATAGGACATGAATGTAAATTTCTTGGTTTAAAATGCCCCCTGATGATCTTATTTTGCTGGTATGATTTAACTACATGATAAAGATTTAATTTAATCAATTCATGTATGTCCCAGTTTTGAATCTCTCTCCTTTTTTTTTTTTTT